TTCAAATTAGATTCCGTCTAATGTAGAAAAATCATTTTTAAAAATGTATAAGCGGAAGTGTGTTTAAAACTGTAGTAGGATCCTGTTGGCCTCGTAGGGACATAAACAGGAATGTAGTACCTCCACCCCCCGTCTGAGGCTGGAGGCGACGTGCCCTCGGCCTTCACACTCGGCTCAGCGTCACTTCGAACACTCAGGAGAGCGTAAACAACACATCCTGCTGGCCTGCAACATTTCTCAACCAGTCACCGCTTCCAAATCGATTACTCGAAGGCGTGGGTCGCTGATGCGTTGAAGAATGTCGAGGGAGCAGAGACGAGTTTCACGCATTCTGGAGAGACCGACTTTTCAAAGCGTTTTACAGAAGCAGCAGAGGAGCAGGAATGAAAGCAGGACGGAGGACGTGTCACAGGGTGATGGCTGGTGCATGCTGGAGAGGTCGGCCTGCTGCTTCATCAGGTGATGCTGCTTTTCTTTGTCACTGAATAGAAGCTGCATTAAACTTTGCACGCTATTCGTGCAGCGGTTGAAGCATCACAGAGCTCCTGAGCTTCTTCAGAAAACCGCCACAAACAGTGAGATAAGAAGCAGCCCAGCGCTGCACCTTTCCCCATGCCTGACTGATCCCCAGAGCGTGACCTAGATTACTGCATGTTCTTCACCTGTTAGCAAAGCCTTTGATTTCCCTTCAGCCCAAAAACAACTCCTAATCCAGAATCATTCTTCTCTTAGACCGGTCAGACTACAGCGTCCAGGGGATGGAAGATAGCGTAGCCTCAAAAATCAGAGAAGCCCAGTGCAAAAAAAAAAGGAAAAAACAGAAACCCATATCACACTTTAAAGGAAAAACAGAAATCGAATCAGACAGCGATGTCAAAACAAGCGCAGGAACGCTGATACGGCTGTCATATTCATGTGTGTGATACCAGAACAATGTCAGGAGCTGGACAACAAGGGCTGACCTTCTCACTCCTGCAGGATGTTCATGCTTTATTTAGAGACAGCTGACTGTGAATGTTGCACCGCTCGGCCTTTTGCATGGTTCAGGCCGCTGGAATTACATCAGATGTTACTCAGAGAAGAAGCAGCATTTATGTAGGATCGCTCAGACATGTTCTACGCTGTGATCACTGGACACCAATTTGAATACAAAAGACTAACTTTGCAGATGATTGCCAAATTGAATGTGTCATGAGGACAACTTGGGAGCAGCATCACCATCTGATGCGTGATGGTGAGTCAGTCCCTGCGGCTCTTACTAAGTTTTGATGCTGTAATCAAGCACACATGCGAATCAGAAAAGCGTTTCCCCTCGTGGTGAACACTGAATTGTGATTAGTCCGTACACTTGGGGGGAAAAATAACAGCTGCTGGCGAACTGGAAAGCAGAAGATTGAAGCAAACAGAGCAGCAGGCGAAGGCACGCAGTGGAAAACGATGAGCAGAGGCTCACACTCTGTAGGTGGATTCGGTTACAGCGCCGCTTCTAATTACCTCAGAAAACACAACCTGTAGGCCCAGAAACATTCAGCGTGTTCTGACTCAGGACGTGTTCAAGTGTCAGCTCACCGATGACCGCTCAGTCTTTGCCTGTATTTGAATCTAATTTAAGCTCGACGGCACCTAAAAGGTTCATGACTCCATAATGGACCCTTAACAATCCTAAACCTGCTGTCCAACAGGTTTGTAGGAAAAACCAACAGAACCCATAAAAACAGCCTTAACATAGCGACAGCCTTGGATTGTGACTCCGACATGACATTTAATGTCACCAATCAGGATGACGGCGTATTATCTGACTGAACAATCCCACAGATTGGCTACGTTCACACTGCAGGACTTGATGCTCAATGAGGATTTCTTTGTGACTTCCTTCACGTTTCCACTTCAATGCGACTTGTATGTGATCTGCTGTGTGAACTTCATACGAGCCAAAAGTGTCCCGCATGCGCAGAAGAGGACACGACGACGTCACACGCAGCGAGCGTGCTCAGTGTTTATGGAAGTAAACATGGATGGTAACGGTGGAGCGTATCTGCCACTCCCCCGCCGCCACCGATGGAGGAAACAGAAGTGTGAGCGCTAACTAAACTAGCATCAGCAGCCAAGTACTGCCTGTGTGTTCTGGACACTTCCACCCCGTCAGAGCGCTGCCCCGGGGTGGAAGTGTCCCCCGACCGCACCCAATATTCTGATATTCATAATTAATTGGGCCTGAATATCCAGAGAGCTAATTGGGTTGATTGGTAGAAAAAAAAGCCAGTGAGGATTTTCGAAGCAGATTCTGATCTGAGTCCGATGCCTGTATTGTGTTGAGCTGACTGACGTTAGCGATGATAAACCCTCCATAGATGGCAAATAATGGAACAACTCAGAAACAATATGACAGCAGCCGCTGTGATCATTAATAGAAGGATCTTTTCTGATTCACGCCGATAAAAAAATCAGTATCTCAGACAAAAGTTCTGGACTTCAAGTAAGGCATTGATCAGTCTTGGTGCTTGAATCTCCTCCTGACCTCACCGGTATCATCGCTACTCAGAATAATGCTGAAACCTCCGTCGCTGTTGTCGCATTATCATCAGTAAGAACAATATCACAACATCAGAACCTGACAAATCCTGCTCTGGACATGCAGACATCCAGCTCGTCTGGTCCAAATAGAAGTTATCTTTACATGAAGTAATTTCCAGTAGATTAAGCACCAAAATAAATACTCTGAGGTGTGAATCATCTCCACCTCTTATCTGTGGTTAGCTGGTTAGCGCAGCCACGGCGAGGCTGCAGAGACGTTTGCTGGCTCTAATTGCTCACACAAAGGTTTTCTACAGCAATACGACGGTTCTGTAACACCACTGCAGCGCCACTTATCTTTCAAAAGGCCCGTCGTAAATCACACGTTCAATTGCCTTTTCGCCTTTATAACAGTTTTATGGAGAAAAAAATCTAAACCATCAACAGCCGTCCTGCAGCCACATGTATAGGGTTTATCTGGGAATCTGCTGTTTCTGCTGGAGGGCATAATAGTCTGTTATTGCACCGCCACCCACACAAATGTTATGAACGGAGGACAAAATGCAAATGTTTTGCATGTGAAAGCTCACAGAGCAAAGCTTTTAAGAAGATATTGCACATATTATATAATAGATAACGGATTTCCCCGTGGCTCTGCCGTCCTGAGGCAGCCCGTCTCTCTGAAAAAGGATATTGTTGTTTGTCTGAACCCAGCAGCTTGATGGGGTAATGATTTAATCACAGATTTCCAAATGTTTATTATCTCTTGGAGCTGGAGACGGCCGCCCTGTTCCGGTCCTCCCTGGGAGTCCAGTCCAGCATCCTGCAACTGCCGCATGAATCAGATCCCAGCAGGCTGCAGGAAGGTGTTTGTCCTTCATTGCAGGTGCTGCACAGAAAGCTCTCCGGGCCGAGGACGGGCGTGACGGAGCCGTGCACGAGGGGACACTGTGGAGAAAGTGGACCTGCAGGATGATAGGTGGGAGGCGAGTAGGAAGGGGGAAGGAAATGAAAACTTGACATCTCCTCTAAACATAGCAGCGAGTCGACGTGCTGCGTGGATCCGGTTCTGTCATGGCTCTCCTGGGGGTCTTCACGTTCTCTAATAACCGAGCATTACTCTCTCATCCTCTGTGGTCCCGGTCATCACTCTCCTCCAGAGCCGCACCGCCGCCTTTGTTCTTCTTTTTATGTCCACTCCCAACTCAACTCCATCTTCTTTTCTCCCCCTGAACATCTCATCACCTGCCCTCTGGTCACTAAACACTGAATATCTGCCACACAGCACAAATGCAGACGAGCAGACGGTTCCAGGAGCTGAGACGTGGCCTGTGGTGGCTCATCTTAATCAGGTGATTCCAGGCTGCAGTGACCTACTATCCTCACGCTCACTCTTGATTTAACAGCAGTGCAACAGAAATGTGATCTTTTTCTCCTGTGAATCCGTCTATTGATCAAAGCGACGCCACCTGATTGAATCACTGGATTTACAGCCACATATTTAACGCAACATTTAAAATACTGTCGAGCTGCAAAACCCCTTCCAGCTTTTACGTAACTGCTGTTAACATCACGCAGCTTAACGGTGCATATTTTCCACGTGGGCTAAAATCTGAGACCAACAGGACGTGTAAACATGAGGCGGCCCAGAGGGACGGCGGACCTACAGGCTGCTGGTTCTGCACGATGAGGACAGACACTGAGGACATGACAGAGGAGGAGACAAAGCAGACCCTGTGAGCTCCCTGCTCTCTGGGAACAATGAGCAGCCAGACACAGCGCCTGTCAGCAGGACTGAAGGAGATCCATCAGCACCACACAGGCTCCTCATGCATCCAGCCTCCAGCAGCAGCAGCAGCACTGGATGGTGTGAAGATGAGGATGAGGGAGGTGAAGGTGGACCTCACTGTTGTCCAACTCTTATAACTCAACTCCAGATGTCACTCAGCTGCCAGACAAATGTGGGCTAAAGGATGTTTTAAAGCAAACCAGCACACATCACGGCCACAAAGAGAACCGAGCCCAGCCTGAGGTGCCGTTTAATGAAAACGGTGCTGATCTGGACCATGAGGGGCATCTTAAACATTTAACGAGCCTCTTTCCCGTCCAGTGAAAAACTAAAGGCCTGTTTGACCACAATCGATGATTTTAGGCGTAGACTGGCTGCTGCTGCTGCTGCTGCTGCTGCTGCGCATGGATGAATCACCGACAGCAGAACCGAGTCGGTGTGAATCCAAAACGCAGCTCCAGCCTTTCGTTTTATTTTCATGTTGAAACTGAGTTGGCCGTGAATCCGTCCCCAGCAGCCTGACAAACGGCTGAGGAGCAGCTCACCGCCCCGCCGCTAGCGCTGATGCTGAGGACGGATCCCAGCATCCCTCCGCCGTCCTCCGGCTGCCTCCGAGCGGAGGCGACGGACGGAGCCGACGGGGGAAGGAGGACGCTTCACCGGGTCGGGATGAGGTCTGAACGAGACGAGGTCTTACCTGGAGAATGTCATACGACGATCGAGTCACCTCCGTGCGGGATGCGTGCGGGACGGAGCGGGCTGGGCGCGCATCACTCGGTGTGTGTCGCCGCGACGGAGAGCGTACGGGAGCGCGCCCCGGAACGAGTATAACGGCAGAACGATCCCACTGCAGTTGTCTGCTCGGTGAACACACCGACTGCACGGGAGCAGGCACCCCAGCCCCGCCCCACCCCTCCGGTACTCACACAGAGAGTAATCCCGTTACTTCAGTCGGTGTGGACGGAACAGCAGAACACCGGAAACACACACAGCAAACAAATAAAGCCTTAAACTGCAAAACAAAGATGTTTCTGCATCACAGCTGAAATAATAATTCATATAATCAATGATTCACATAATCAATGAATACTTCCTTTTTTAAAATGATGTTAAAGTCATTCTTATTGACTGCACAACCTTTTATTTCTGTTTTATCATCTTTTCCCTTCAGATATCGTGTTTTGCTCTGCATTAGTTTCTGAATCTATTTTTTTTTACAATCATATACATTTAAAGTGGCTGACCCGAACCCGAACCCGAACCCTGACCCTGTTCAGTGGCTTACTTCATGTCAGTGACTGCATTATTTCTGTTTTCTCTTCCAATCATATGTTTTGTCAGTTTTGCTGTGCATTAGTTTCTAAATCTTTATTTTTTTTACCACCCTGTATATCGTTAATGGTTTCTGAAGAACATCTAAACTACACTTGACTTGTTTGATAAGTGACACCCTCTATCCAGAATCCATTTATTTAGGCTCTGATCAACATATTTCCTGGATCAAAGATGATTTCAAAGGGGGCCATGACCTCCTCTAGTACCGGCAGCAGTGACAGCATGTGGAGGTCCAGTCGTCCTCAGTGTATTTATACCCTCCCATTAAAGAAAAGGCTAAATTCACAACAGTCCCTCAAATAACTAGAAACTGGAAAAAGTAATAATAAATAAAAATTTGCTAAATTATAATTTAGTGAAATAGGGTGTTGCTTTTGAACTGTGCTTGAAGAGAATAATAATTGTCCTGGACTAATGAGAGCCCTTTGCTGATGAGCAGTGGTCCAGAACACCTGTCAACAGGTGCAGAAGTCTGACTGAGAGTTACAGAAACACCTGATGGCAGTGATTGGCTCAGAGGGTTGTTCAACTAAATATTAGTTTATGGGTCCCATTGTGTTAGTTTGCTTTTTTTTTTTTTTTTTTAAATATCTCTGTTGAAGCACGATTCAAAAGCAACGTCATGATTTTCATAAAATTTTTATTTATCATTAATTTTGTCAATTTCTAGTTATTTCAGCTGGGGTTTTTTTTCCTTCTGTAATTGGAGCGTATGAATACATCTGAGGACGACTGTGTTACAGATGATCAGCTCTAATCAGCTGATGAATCGTAGCAACACAAACTCAGACAACAATAAAAACACAGTTTATTATAAGCTGCTGTAGTTTGATGAATTCTCACCACATGTGGACAGAATTTTCAGTCTTGAGATCATAAATAGACTCTAGTTGTGCTTTAATGTGTTAATATTTCTAACAATGTCCTGAGTTTATGATGCCTGCAGGTGATTTCTTGTCCCCCTGAAACCCCTTCTGGTCCGGTTCAAACAGCAGCCGCCCAAATAGGCAGAATGTTCCCATGTTAGTCTCATCTCATCAGATAATCGCTCTCATTACATATGAAATAAGAAACAAGGCTGTATGCTTCAGCAGCAAACCAGAACTCCTGACACTCAGTTCTGTTTTTTGTGTTTTGTGTGTTTTCAGTGGCTCCGTCATGCCGTCCCTATGAAAAGCTTCTAGAAGCACCTCGGCCTAAAATATGGATTTTATTCCTCTTATTATTGTTTATTACTGTGCAGTTACAACAAAGATGGAAACCAGAAGGGACTCATCTCTAAACTAATGAATCCTATAAAAACAAAGACAACCTAAGACTAAAACACGTTGGACCAGCTCACCTCCAGCTCCAGTCTTGTTCTGATAACAAAGGTTTTCTGCTGCAGTCCTGCTCCTGTTCAGGCTTCACTACACTGAGCTGCTTCCACTTGTGTTTCTGATCAGAACAATCTTCAAGGCTGCGTCGTCATGAACACATGAACAGTGAGATTCTGCACATTTCTATAAAACCGTCTTATTCCAGCAACCATCTCAATGTTCTCCTGACCTTATACAAGCTTTGATTTGCTGCTCTTGGTTTTTATTTGGCTTTTTTTTTTTTTATCCTTCTTTAAATCCTTGACTCGTCAGTGTTTATGCACCAAAAGTCAAATTCCTCCTCCGTAAAAACACACTTTGCGATGAAACTGATTGTGAGCCGCCTGCTCATCACTGCTGCGCTGCTGTTAGCGTGGGAATGCGTTCATCGTTCCTATTGATAGTTTAATGACTTGTGGAGCTCGACACTGAGCAGAAACGTGATCGACCGTCATAGCTTGTGTCGCTGTACCGGGCTTTAAAATATTTGAGGTTCTGAAACTGGGATTTTTGAGACGTTCGCTTCACAGCAATGCAGACGCACACATTTTCAACTCCAGTGTTATTTATATATATTTATATATATGAAGAGTTCATTTGCAAAAACAGAAAACTCCATTTTTGTAGATTGTTCAGAAAACGTATTTTTTTGTTTGTTTGCTTGAGATGAAATCAACCAAACTGAAGCTGAGTGGATCTGACTCAGCAGAAATGACTACAACAGAGATAACTCAGTTTGGTTGATATTTTCTCAGGTAGACGATGGAGAAATGGGTTTATGAATGTTGTGTAGACGGAGTTATCTGTTTTTGCAAATGGACTCTTCATGTGTAGGCTTTCAGATGTACAGCTCATATTTCTGTTGCCGTCAGTGCACTGGAGGAGAAACAGTGTCTGAGTGTCCAGCTGGGACCAGATAAGAACCTGGGCTTGAGATCCAGTGTCGCTGGTTCAATCCCAGCCGCTAAGGAAATATTTAGGGCTGGATCGGTGGTTAGCATCGTCGCCTCACAGCTTGGTGAGGACACGGTGAACACACCCGGGATCTTCCTGCATGGAGTCTCCATGTTCTCCCCGTGCAGTGTGGGTTCTCTCCGGGTTCTCCGGCTTCCTCCCACAGTCCAGAAACATGCTGAGGTTAATTGGTGATTGTAAATTGTCCGTAGGTGTGAATGTGAGTGTGCTTGGTTGTCTGTCTCTAAGTGTAGCCCTGTGATAGACTGGTTACCTGTCCAGGTGAACCTGCCTTCACCCTGAGTCAGCTGGGATAGGCTCCGCCCCCCATGACCCTGGTGAGGATTAAGGTGTAGAGATGATGGATGGATTCCTCTCTGTAGAAAAATCACTGCTCTGTTTATGTAAAGACGACAAACTGCATCAACCAAAGTGCATCTGCCTCCAGCTTTACTGGGAGATGAAAGTGTGTTTTTGTTTTCATATGAATTAAATTGGAGAGAGGAAGAAGCTCTCTGCAGCTTGTTCAGGTGGAAGGCGGCGCTGCCACCGTGTGGCCATGTTTTAACATTACAGCTGAACTGAACAGAACTGAAACCAGCAAACACCTCCCAGAACCAAACCGTTGGTAAAGTCACGTTCTGTCACCAGCAGAAAACTAGCTCTGGTTTTCCAAATAATAAACACAGTAGCTTCATCGTGCTAAAGTTTACAGAAGGGAAAGAGGCCCGCTTGTTCAGAGATGTTTGACCCTGTTCAGGACTGTCGGGGCTTTTGGACTTCAGGCCACTTGGTTCAGGGGACAGCAACTGATTTTTTATCTTTGAAGTTTTGGGTTTTTTTAAATAAAAAGAGGGACATTTGTCATGTATTTGTATTTAACACAGTATAAAGTCTGTAATGAATACCAACACATGTTCTGCACAGGTTCTTTCTTGGGGTCCAATGGACCCAGAAACACCTCCTACGTCTGGAAAGTCCTGGACGGGGTTCAGCATGTTGTCACTGTTGTCCACTGATGCTCTCTGTGATTTTTTCTGTTTTTTGGTTGGAATAATGTGAAAAACTGATACCAGAGCTTATATTAAACTGTATTTAAATTAAACAAATACTTCTCGGTTCTGCACTAATGCAGGTTTGCAGCTCTTATTGCTCCTTAGTTTGATCTCTGTTTGAATTTCCTTTTCAGTGGTGTAACAAGCTAAATTCATTCAGTTTCTGTCAGGTCTGGGTGGAGGTAGACGTGGCTTCTAGTGTGGCCAAATACAGAAATGTGTTTAATCAGTTTGTCTCTGTTTGTTGTGAAGGTGGTTAAAAGGCAGAAAATGAGAGGAACAAGGAACAGGACGGTTAGAAATGATTAGTTCAGAACACTGTGTGACGCCAACACTTGAAAGTTCTTGATCAGTTTTATTTCAGGTCGGTGACTCCTGACCTCAGTATTTGTCAGCAAGGCCTTTGGGCCTGTAGTGGTTCGGATCATTTCCGTCTCGCCCCCAACGGTTGGCCTCCTGGTCGGCTGCAGTGTCCTCGGCACCGTGACCCATTTTGCCCTGAACCCACTCTCTCGTGTCACTGAAATGGAAAATAACTTGTAAAAAAATGAGGAATATAAAACCAAGACAGCTATTCAGAACTAGTGAGATCTAAACATGAGCTCCTGCATACAGACCGTTGTTCTGGTGGTTCACTGCTGTCGTAGCAGATTTCATATCATCCAGAGACTCCTCTGTGCTCACCTGATGACCTCCGCCGCCCATCGTCCTCCTGCTCCTCTCTCCGCGGCTTCAAAGTTTCCTCTGGCGTGAAAGTATTTGTCTGAGTTTTTCCAGTTGGCCTCCCTCATGTCACGGTAGGCCTGTGCCATGTCCCAGGCTCCTGAGCAGAAGAACAGCAGAAGATGTTCAGAAAGAAGAACATGGTTTGGTCTGACATCCACAGAGCTGCACACGTTTCTGTTTCCAACCTTGAACAGCCTCAACAGGGAACTTGTAGAACTGAGCTTCGGTTTCCACGATCAGAAGCAGAACGAGTCCAGCCAGGAGCAGCTTCATGGTTAAAGACGTCTGAGAGAAAAGAGCACAAACAGAAATACAGATACATACATACTTAGAGTTCTCTATGATTGAATGAACATATGAACTTACTGTGCAGTCCTCACACGGGTCAAATCTTCACTAGATCACAGAATATCTTTCCAGAGGCCACTTCTGCTCTTATATTGTGCTCAGACACGAGGGGGGTCACAGGATTTCTAAATAACGGGAAATCCCGACTATCTGTGGAGCTGCTGGCAAAGTTAAATGTCAGGTAAACACATGGAGGGCATGGAGCAGTTGTGTAAGTGCAGCTGTTGACACAGCACAGGAGAGCTCAGGTTTTGATCTTCATACGTTTATATGCGAGCAGTTATTTTAGTTTGTGATGATTTATCTTTTTTCTTTGCTCTCGGTTATGTTCACTTCTTTAATTCAAAACCTGGGAGACGTTTGAAGAAATGTTCAAACCAGAACTTAATTGTTGTTGTTGTTGATCTTCTGGAGAGAACTCTCCAAACGCCGCCAACGTTTATGGAGTATGAGCAGATTTTGTCAAATGGGAGGCGATTCATAACCGAGCAGAACCCAAAGTGCCTCCAGCAGGACACTTAATGCGACCACCACAGCGTCTGAACACGCTGAACAATCAGCGGAAACCCTGCAACAATACTTCTGAAGCCCATCAAACAGCATCTTTAAAGTCACATCTGCGCCAGTTTTTTTCTTTTGTTGCCACAATCTGTTGCCCTAAACTTTCACTTTCTGTAATTCTCAGTCATCGTTAGCGACTCGCTGCAGAGACGTTCCTCTGCTTCGTCTGCCCACCGCTCAGGGTGCTTCATGGCTGAAGCATCATGATGGGATCAATCATCTTTAAAACACTTACCGTGCTTTGTTTAGTTTTACATCTTTGCTTTATTTGTTTATCACTTGATTCTGAATTTACACGTATCAAGTTGTCCAGTGGGCTGCAGGTGTCTCAGTGGTTAGCATCATGGCCTCACAGCTAGAAGGTCGCTGGTTCACGTCCCGGTGAGGACACCCGGGATCTTCCTGCGTGGAGTCTCCATGTTCTCCCCGTGCAGCGTGGGTTCTCTCCGGGTTCTCCGGCTTCCTCCCACAGTCCAGAAACATGCTGAGGTTAATTGGTGATTGTAAATTGTCCGTAGGTGTGAATGTGAGTGTGCTTGGTTGTCTGTCTCTAAGTGTAGCCCTGTGATAGACTGGTTACCTGTCCAGGTGAACCTGCCTTCACCCTGAGTCAGCTGGGATAGACTCCAGCCCCCCATGACCCTGGTGAGGATTAAGGTGTAGAGAAGATGGATGGATGGATGGTGTCCAGTCCTGATTACCTTAAAAATTATAATTTGTGATTGATAGATAGATGGATGGATAGATGGATAGATAGAGTTACCACCACCACCATAAATACTGATAAATAAGCAAAAATAGACAATAAGAAAATATAAAATGCAAACTGTACAATAGGTGTAATATGTCCTGTGTGAGGGAGGTGCAAATAATGTGCAACAGAAGAGTCCAGCAGAAATGTGCAAAAGGCAGTTTCAGTGATAGAACCAGGTCCTACGAGGCCTGAGAGCTCTCTGCCTGCCGGGCTGATGAGGTGAACAGGGTTAGTGCTTGTGCTTCCTGTATGTGTCCTTGTGGCAGCGGAGCTGGACCAGGCTGGTGGAGAAGCTGCTCTGCTGCCTGTCCAGCAGGAGGTGAAGCGGGTGGTCGGGGTCATCCTGGACGGACAGCAGCTTGTTTAAAGTCCTCCTCTCCTCCACAGCTTCCATCACAGGATGTGACGACTCAGCACGTTTTCTTTTTTCTTTTTTAATGTTCTTTCACATCCCGATTCAAACAAAGACATGTTAGTGTTTAAATGTGCTTCATATCTGAACAAACAACCGAAAACTTGCTGTTTTTATGTTCATCTGTTGTAAGAAACAAAGAAGAAATAAAGGGTTTGGCCTTCACTACTAACAACTCTTTGTGTTCTGGCACTTTGAGCGTTGCTTTATCTCCAAAGCAACAGATGGAGGCAGTAAGCTGGTGCTGATGGAGCACGACATCATCACCGTCAGCAGCACCTTAAAACTAACGAGAACCAAACCAGAGCAACAAACTTTATTAAATATAGTTTAAGAGAAGGACCTAAAGGATGATAAACCTGACTCGATAAATGTTTTAAAGTCACGTTTAAAAAAAAAATAAATAAAAAAAATTGTACACAACAATATAGTGATAGCACAAATGATGTCGTCACACAGAACAGAATCATGTTTGTGTCTTTAATCAGCAGCATTTTCCTCTCTAGAAATAGTTTATTGCTCTTAATCAAATTATTTTATTGTGAACTTTTTAGTGCTTTTCTCAGTGTTATGAGCTCCGTTCATGCCTGAGTCCACCATGTGTTGTTCCAGGGATGTGATCAGCGCTGCTAGCTCGTCAGTTTCTCTGTTTGTCTTTCAGCAAGATCAGACGAGATCGACGGAGCTTAATTACATGAAGCTTGGTGGAGAGGTGCACCACAGGCAAAGAGAGGCGCCATTAAATTCTGTTGCAGATTCGTAATCGGTATTTAAACTTCAAGGATGGGGCGTCGGCAGATGGACGATTAGCTCCGTAAGCGGCCCGTTTGTCTCTGGGCCTGTCAGCAGGATTAGACAAAACTACCACCTGAGTTTCAGGAAACTTGGCGGAGAGGTGACGCATAGGAACAGGAAGGACCCGTTAGACCTGAGGTGCAGAACAGGATCAGCTTCTTTAGAACTGTGAGACGGAGCGTTGACCTTGGCAGAGGATGGCGCTCTGCTTTTCCATTTGTTTATGGCCGTTTGCTCGACACATATAATGAGCTCCTGAGGAGGAAGCAATTAAAGTCTGGTTTTATTTGTTTAATTTAAAAAAACAAGAACAGTTGATGATGAGTTGGATATTTTACACTGAACTTGGTCATTTGTGTTTGTATTACAGAGACTGGATGTACTTGATCAGATGTTTTGTGTAAATTGGACGCTACAGAGGAAAGATAACGTCCCCCTGAAGTCTGATGTTAGTTTGAAATACCTTCTGTGAAATAGAGAACGTCAAACTGTGAAATCTACAAAACGTAATTCAAAATAAACCCAAATGAAACCTGTAGCCGTCACGCTGTGGCCATCAACACACACATATTGATCAGACACACAGAGACAGTAAAACACAGCCGCTGGTCCGATCCGGGTCCAGCAGCTGAACGCTGTGTGTGGGTTTGTGTTCAGAACTGGATTCTGGTGTTGCTGTGTTCAGAGTACGTCTCCAGCTGCTGCCGTTGGTTTTTCTGTCCTTCTGCTTTTATTCTGTGTGACAGTGGGAAGATCTGGTCCATATGAAGCGTGGCCTGTTTCACATCTTTCACATAGATGAACGAACCAGCAGCCTGGTAGCTCCTGGCGAGGCAACTAAATAATTAGATCGTATTAAAACTTGACAAAATTTAGGAAGTTCAGTGCAGAAAGATTAATCGTGACCTTCCAGAGCTCGGCGTGAGGAGGGAACGCGCTCGTTGCTACAATCGCCGCTAACGCACTGAGCTGAATGATAATCGTATTGTGATGTGAAAACAATTCAGCTTTATTTCTGGTTATTCCCACTCGCTCAGCTTTTAATTAACTGGCTTATAATTAGTAAATTTCCAGAACAAATGGCTGCTGGGTTACAAATAACCAGAGGATAAATCATATCTGTGATAATGATGCTCTTCTGCTGCTTTCATTGCGAGTCACGTATCGATCTGATGGTTCGTTATAGATCCCAGTTTCTGCAGCAACAACCCGCTGTGTTGACCTGAATCACCTGAAAGAGTTAATGCTGGAGGGTAAATGTGAGGCTCTGCTGTGACTGGAGATACGACCATGCAAGTAAAGTGTGTCGTCGACGACAGCAACAAGCAGCAGCGTAGCGGCGGGAAAGAATCCCAACTTCTTTCCTGTTCAGAGACTTTTTCAGACACATATTGCACAACCACACATTTCCCTGCTTCTGAACCAGGATTATTATTTACCTCACTCAACAATAAAAGAGTGTATTTCTTCTATTGTTGAGCTGATTGTATTCAATTTGAAATCACACGTATGTATTGAGCACCACAGTGTCATCTGTCAGAGCGTTTCTCTGAACACATGTGGACCATAACGTCTTCAGACTGCGCTCTAGTTTATTATCGGTTGTCTTGGAAGAGAACCACAACAGTGAAACATCACTACAGATCCAACATGTATATAAACATATATATAATCCCACAACAGGAGGAGATCTTGTAGGCTGCTCAGGAGACCTCTTGGGGATCTAAAGACATAAATGCTGCTGCTGGTAGACCTTCACGAGGACGTAGTTCTCTGGATGAGACGGTCAAATGTTGTTTCCGGTAGTTTTTGTTTTTTTTTACACATAAACACCGACTGATGCTCGTTCATCAGATTTCAAACTGATGGATCTGCTGTTCTTCCGTGCTCAGTGTCCCATCATGACAAAGACATAAACGACATTTTTAAACATCAGAAACAGCAATGTGACATTTACAAAAGCATTCAGATTCTTCTTTAATTCCTTCTTTAACTACTTGAGAACAGACACTCAGCCCACTGTGATCGGTGGGACCTGTGTGTGAAGGCTCAGTGACTTCTGCTTCCTGGGAGTCCACATTGAGGAGAAACTGATCTGGGATCAGAACACCACACAGCTGGTAAAGAAGGCACCGCTAAGACTTCCTGAGAATCCTCAGGAAGAACATCAGCCAGAGACTGCTGGTGTCTTCTTACTGCTCCACCATGGAGAGCATCCTCACCTTCTGCCTCTGGACGTGGTTCACCAGCTGCATGGCGGCAAACAGGAAGGAACTCCAGAGGGTCACCAGAAAGGCTGAGAAGGTCACTGGGTGGCCTCTACCCACACTGGAGGACCTTCATGGCTTCTCAGGAGAGCCGACACCATCCTGAAGGACTCTTACCACCCGGGCCACTTCCTGTTAGAGCTACAGGCCCATCAGAACCAGGACCAACAGACTGAAACACAGCTTCTGTCCAACTGCTGTCGGACCATAAACGCCTCTTTATCATAATAAGTGCAAGATATTATTAATATACAGCTGCCTCTACCTCTGGGCAACATCCAC